GCCGGCTCTTCGGCTTAGTAATGGAGATGAGCACCAACCCCCAGAGTCAGACATGACTAGACTTAATGTCAGGGGAAATCTTTATCTTTACTTTACATATCATAATCAGATATTTTGGTGATGAGACTGAGTTTAAGCACATAATTAATTTACCTTCACCTACATCTGATACACATTGCCTGAAATTCATTTTATACCCAACATTTTAAATAATTTTGTGCATGAAGCAAGGTTGCATTATGTGTATGCAAATTACACTGCTTAGCTGGTATTGCACAACCTGACATCCGCCAGGAAGTAGCAGCCAATAGTGAAAGGACCAAGGCAGAGACATCTCCAGCTCATCCCCTGTTTGGGTACCAGCCAGCACGTCAACAACTTAAATCTAGAAATAGTTTTTTAAGATCTACAGAGACACTAGCTGGAACACCTCAGCAAGCGAGAGTCCAAAAGTGGCAAGCTCAAACCCAGAACCTTAACCAATGGCTGATACCAAACGAGAGACTCCCTCCTGGGCACACAGAAGACTGGGCGACTTGGAAGGTGCTGAACAGACTGCGCTCTGGCACCACAAGATGCAGAGTCAACCTGAAAGATAATGTACAAATATTTTAAATAACTCACTTGATTTTCCTGTTAATTGGTACAAACCAGATTTGCAGGGACTGACTGGGTGATATGCTGTGATGCACACAATGTGATGATTATTAATCCAGCTCTTCCTGGTCCCACTTTCTCTCGGTTCTCTTTGACATTCCCTTCTTTTTTATTTGAACTGCAGGAATCTGTTTCCTTTCTGGAGGGCAAAGTGAAGAGGAGGCTTCCATCCACCTCAATGCCATCAATCTGGTCCCTCTGCCTAAACCTTGGAAGTTGACTTTCTCCTATGGGCGGGCCCTGCAAGCATCAGCTCTGGCTGCCTGGTCTGGCAAACCTGAGAACAAGAAGGCATCTCAGGAAGCCTTCATGAAACGGGCAAAGGTAAGCCTGTGAATAATCAAATCCCCCCCCCCGTGGATTTGATTATTCACAGATTTGTTTCAAAATGTTCACTCTGGGAATCTCCAGATCCTCCAATGTGAATGTATCTCTCCTTATGACCCATTTAGGACTTTAAGACCATCTGGGGAGGACTTGCTCTCGGTCCCGCCTTCTTCATAGATGCATTTGGCGGGAATGAGACAGGGCCTTCTCAATGGTGGCCCCTCGGCTGTGGAACACCCTTCCTAGGAATATTAGATCGGCCCCCTCCTTCTTAACATTTCGCAAAAAAGTTAAAACCTGGCTTTTTGAGCAAGCATTGCAAATGCAGTGTAACACGCAAAGACAGACCTACAGAACGACTGGATGATGTGACTGGATAATTATTTCAGTAAGGAGATGCTGAGGATTTATGTTTTATTTGTTTTGCATGGTTTTATATTTTATATGCTAATGTTTTAATTGTATTTTATGTTGTTGGGGCATCAAATTTTGTGGACTATAAACCGCCTTGAATCGCCTTCAGGCTGAGAAAGGCGGTATATAAATACGGCAAATAAATAAATAAATAAGTCTAAGGTTCACTTCCAGTGTTGTAAGATCTAGAAAGTTTCAGAGTTGCTCACTTAAGTTGGAAAAAATAGCATTTGATTTTTATCCATGGTTTTTCACTTCAATGATGGCCCTGTGCCCTAATCCCAGCAAATATGGAAGGCTGGTAGTAATTACTACTGGACTTCATTCAGAACATGTTACTCTTTCCTTGCACAGAGAAATTAGAAACCGTTTTAAGTGTGTGCTTACCCCTTTATTTGTTAAAACCAACTAACTCTTCTTTTTTCTCTTTGTTTTCAGATCAATAGCTTGGCTTGCCAAGGCCAATACGTCACTTCTGGAAAGAGCAGTGCAGCGGCCACTCAGTCTCTTTTTACTGCCAGTTACACATATTAGTGTATTCAAAGAGTGCAGCTAGCTAGTTTGTTGCTCTTTGCAGGTAGCAGGAGAGAGGAAGAACTGCAGCAAGTAACATCTCAGTAAGAAGCCACAAAGAAATAGATCGCAATAATAGGGACCATTGCATGACTGTGATCCTCAGAAAAAGATTACAGGCATCACTCCCTTATTGGGGACTTATTTTAAACATTCCACTGTTTCAACAGGTCTAAATTATGTTCCATAATTTTGATCCATGGTTTGCTCTTTCAGTCACTGCTGCTGTTTTGTGTTTTCATAAATTACAAGGTTTTTTCCCCTGCCAGTTGACTCATGGACCTCTACAGTTACTTTTGCACTTGCAACGTAGAGAAACCTCGATTCCACTTTAAAACCAATTCCATTTTCTGACAATGCTCCAGTCCCTAACCCATCAGATAAGCAGAAACTTCCTGTAGAAAAAAAAATCATTTCAAGCACCTACATATTTTCCCAAACTGGATTGATTTTACAGATCCATCCAGCACTATTTTTATTGGAATGCCTTTTTCAGTCCATTATGTTTCCAATGCACTAACTGTGAACGAACCTCCTGCCATGTGAAAAAATAAATAAATACATCCTTGTGAAATTTATGAATTTCTACCTATTACTACCTGACTCTTTGTGAGATTTTTCTTTTTCTTGGGGCACTAGGGCTAAATGAAGAACTTGGATCTCTTTCCACATTTGTAAATTCACACAAACACTTTTCTTCAAGGCTATCTTGCTCTAGTCCTTCAAGGCTATCTCATAGGCTTGGGTAACCACGGAAAAATTTGGTTCTAAACTCGTTTTGTTTTTAGGGGGCCCTTGCGTTTCGTTTTTTTTAATAATTCCGAAATTTTCCTTTTAAAAATTTCGAAATATACGAAATTTCGTATAATTACGAATCGATTCGTTAATGGCGGACGCGATTGTGCAATATGCTAAAAAAAACCTCCAAATGGGACAGGGGGAACTTCTGAAGCTTCCCTCTCCCTCTGTTGTTGACTGTTGGTGTGATAAAACAAACAACAACTATAAAACTTGCACCAGACATGCGAAAATAATTACGAAATAATTACAAAATAAATTGAAAAAATTGTTTCGAATCTAATTTACTCCTCACACTATTCCTGCATGGCTCAATATTGGATCGTAAGCTAATTTAAATAATTAATAACGAATTACGAAATTAACGAACGAAACCGCCCAAGCCTACTATCTCGCTCTAGTATTGCACTATAATTTAGTGGTGCGAAAGAGTTCCTGGACACCTTGTAGAGGTTTGTCTCAAAAGCTGGGAAATTGCAAGATTATAGCAATGAGCTGGAAGCACTCAAACATAAGGATGGTGTTCTACTGGACAATGCCTGTCTCTCACCTTTCTTTCCCCATGTTCAAGCCAGCGTCTATATACTTTGTCTTTTTATCCTACCAGTGCTCCTATTAAGCCGAAAGACCCATTTGCCTGAAGCCACCTGATGAGCTCCATGGCTGATCTCCCTGATCCAGTGGTTTATCCCACTATCACCCATGGCTTAGGCAAACTGATCTTTGCTCTAGCAGAAACTGACAGGGTAGCATGCCATTGAATGTCTGCATGTTGCAGCTGCCCTCCTGAACCTGTGAATGGGCTCATTTCTATGGCTGAAGTCGGTGGTGCCAGGTGTCTATTTCTGATTGGAAAAAAGGAATGCTGCACAATTGCTGCCTTTTTTCTGTGTAGCCCAGAAGGGCCAGAAAATGCCCAAACAGTTCCAAGTAAAAATGATCTGGTTACACAGACATAGGTGTTTCTGATGAGAGTCTTCTTAAGGCCTTCTACGCAGCCATATAACCCAGAACATCAAGGCAGAAAATCCCAGAATATCTGCTTTGAACTGGGTTATCTGAGTCCATACTGCCATTTATTCCAGCTCAAAGCAGAAAATGTGGGATTTTATTCAGCTGTGTGGAAGGGGCCTTACACAGTTTAGGTTTAAATATCAACACACAAAATTAATGAGTATTTAGGAATGGCCTGAACTTTGATGGAATTCTTTGGAGAAAATTCTGTGCAAATGTCACAAGGATTCATCCAGTATCAAATTTGTCTTGTGATCCTAAGGGTACATTCACTTGGAAGGAATATCCTTGTGGTCAGTACGGGGAGACCTGCATAGCGAAGCCTTACATCTCAACTTATAGACATTCCTTGAACACACACAAAAGTATATTTTTTCTGAGATATTTTTACTTTCTGCCTAATGCTATGTCACTGGACTATAGCATGGAATAATACCATATACATTAGCTGGGAAAAGGGCTCAGAACGCACTCCCACATGAAAACCTTCTACACTGCCACTTAAAGCAGGTTATCAAAGCAGAAAATCCACGGTATCTGATTTGAACTGGATTATTTTAGGGCCCTTCTAGACAGGCCCTATATCCCAGGATCTGATCTCAGGTTTTCTGTTTTGCCCAGATTATCCAGCAGTGTAGTCTCATATAATCCGGTTTAAAGCAGAAAACCTGGGATATAGGGCCTGTCTGGAAGGGCCCTTAGTCTACACTGCCGTATAATCCAGTTTAAAGCAGATAATGTGGATTTTATACAGCTGTGTAGAAGGGATCTTAGAGATTTCTAGAGAGCCGTTCTTTCTAAGAGCCTCTAGGTCTTCTAGAATGAATCTATGGTAAACATCGAGGGACATTGGACCAGAAAGTTGCAAATACACAAATAATCACACCAGCAAAAGTTACTCGCATGAGGTGGGGAACTCTCTTAGAAATGAAAAAGTTATTGTCTAGGATCCTGCCAAAAGTTGGTCTAATAACTTCAAGGACTTTTGGTCAGCTGAAAAGAGAGGTCGGGACATCTTACTGTGAGTATTTTTGAGCTTCAAGAAATCCTTAATTGGACTCAGATCAGGGTTGGCAGTTCAAAGCCGCGAGTTGGGTGAGCTCCCAACTGTTAGCCATAGCGTCTTTCAGCACAGCAGTTCAAAAGCATGCAATGTGAGTAGATCAACCTCCTTGGTGGGAAGGTAAAGGGGCACTACATGCAGACATACTGGCAACATGATCGGAGATTTCTATGGACAAACAGGCTCCACCGTATGGAAAAATGGAACAAGAACACCTCCCCATGGCCGGAGTTGAGCATTCCTGCCTGGGAAAGGCACTGGAGAGCAGCAATTCAACAGAGAAGTCAGCCATAGCAGAGAACTCGATGAACCAACCTGGACACAGTATATTATTTGAGAACACAGAAATGCTGGACCACTCTCACAACCACCATGTCAGACTACACAGAGAAGCCACTGAAATTCACAAGCATGTGGACAATTTCAACAGAAAGGAAGAAAACATGAAAATGAACAAAAGCTGGCTACCAGTATTAAAAAAACGCTAAAATCAGGAAGTAAATAAAGAAAAACACTCAAACAATAGGGGAATTCCAGACAAGAAACAATCAGGGCCAGCTAACACTTCCCAAAAATGGATCCCCCAAGCAGGAAAGCAGCCGGGCTTTGAAGCTGCAAGGTTATTCAATGTTAATCAAGGTGGCTGATTGCAACAATCACACTGGCGCCCAACAGACAAGAGTTCTTTCTCCCACCTTGGACTTTCCACAGATATATATAAACTCAATTTTCCTAGTTTCCAACAGACCTCACAACATTTGAGGATGCCTGCCATAGATGTGGGCGAAATGTCAGGAGAGAATGCTTCTGGAACATGGCCCACACAGCCCGGAAAACTCACAGCAACCCAAAGTTTTTACAGTTTAATAAACTTTTTTCCATGTCAGGTAGAAACAAGTCAGATATAAGCGACAAGACTAGCCAGGATCTGGCACAAATAATGATGGTATTTGAGGTTTTTGAGTTATTTAGAGGTCTGGTTCCAACAACAAACTACAAATCCCAGAATTCAATAGATTGGTAGTTTCCCCGAAGTCTTTAGTTTCTCGCCTCTGCCAAAGAGAGCTGGTACCTCGCCAGACTTCACATCCCAGGATCCTATGGCCTTTAGAATTGTGCCTGACTGCACGAATCATCCCACAGGAAAGAGGCACCCGGAGTCTCTCCCTTTCCTATCTCTATGGAGAGAGAGCCCCGCCCATTTCCGTGACGTAATCAATGCCCTTTTCCCATTGGCACGGCCGCAGGAGGGGCGGAGTCTTCGTTGTGCGGGTACCAAGATGGCGGCTTCCACAAGGCTGCTCAGGGTTTGCGGGGCTCGTCGCCTCTCTCTGGGGATCCCCGCGCGCAGGGCATTGTGGGGAGGGCAGAGGTGAGTCCGGGCACAGCGGGAAGAGCCTCCTGTGTGAGGGAATCCCTCGGTCCTTTCCCCCCTTTTTCTGTAGGCCAGGGGGTGCCCAATCCGTGGGACTTCAACTCCCAGAAGGCTTTGCCACCTTGACCAACGACTAGGAATTCTGGGAGTTAGACTCCAAAATGCCCAGGATGATATAGACTAAACATCCCATATTGGTAAGATGTGGGCCCAAAGTCATGCAATTTAGGAATATGGAGAGTGTATAATTGCGGCATAGAAAGACATTCTTGTGTGTCTTCAAGCCATTACTCATTTTGGCAACCTTCAGGCGAACCTTTCATAGGGTTGGCAAGGTTTGCTTCTACACACCCCTATATCCCAGAATATCAAGGCAGAAAATCCCACAATCTCTACTTTGAACTGGGTTATCTGAGGCCCCTTCCACACAGCTGAATAATATCCCACATTTTCTACTTTGAACTGGAATATATGGCAGTATGTGGACTCAGATAACCCAGTTCAAAGCATGCATTGTGGGATTTTCTGCCTTGATATTCTGAGTTATAGGGCTGTGTGGAAGGGGCCTGAGTCCACACGGTCAAATGGCCCTTAGGTGTCCATGTGAAGGATCTTCTTCCAGCAGCCCAGAAGCAGAAACACTGCCTCGGTAAAACCCTGTATAGAGAACCTAAACATGTAACTGTTGCCAAAATTCCCAGGCTCACCTAGCTTCTCAGGCGTAGCCCAACCAGTCAGCTTCGTGCTTTGCATTTTTCAGTTAACACACTCACCAACTTACTTTTACCTGTTCCAGCAGGTTTTTGGTGGGCTGAGGACCCTTCCACGCAGCTGAATAAAATCCCACATTATCTGTTTTGAACTGGAATATATGGCAGTGTGGACTCGGATAACCCAGTTAAAAGCAGGTATTGTGGGATTTTCTGCCTTGATTTTCTGGGTTATAGGGCTGTGTGGAAGGGGCCTAACTCCACACTGCCATATATTCCAGTTCGAAGCAGAAAATGTGGTATTTTATGCAGTTGTGTGGAAGGGGCCTGAGAAGGAGTTTGCCCTTGCCTTCCTCTGAGGCTGAGAGAATGTGTCCTACCCAAGGTCACCCAGTGGGTCTCCAGGAAAGAGCAGGGATTCAAACCTGGGTCTCCCAAGGCCATAGTCCCACACTCAAACCACAAGGTGACACTGCCTTCCTTGGCTAGGCCTCTGCACCCAGGGATTCAACCATCAACTGCAGAATTTCACAGATTTTCCATGTTGGTGACACATTGTTTAGATGAGGCTCCTTTTGCAACATAGTAATTCAGTTGTACTGGCAAACCAAAGGTTAAATCAACCCCTTATAAGAGTTTGATATAATATCTGTCTTAAATACCGGCAGTTCCCAAGTTACTAACAAGATAGGTTCAGAAGGTTTGTTCTTAAGTTGAATTTGTATGTAAGTCAGAACAGGTCCATTTTAATGTGTAACTTCAGCCATATATACGATATATATATATAGATAGATTTAGAGAGTGTATAAAGTTAAAGGTTTTCCTTGGACATTAGGTCTAGTTGAGTCCAACTCTGGGGGATGGTGCTCATCTCCATTTCTAAGCTGAAGAGCCAGTGTTCATAGACACCTCCAAGGTCATGCCAGCATGATTGTTTGGAGAGCTGTTACCTTTCTGCCGGAGTGGTACCTATTGATCTACTCACATTTGCATGTTTTCAAACTGCTAGGTTGGCAGAAGCTGAGCCCAACAGTGGGAACTCACCCCACTCCCCATATTCAAATCTCTGACCTTTTGGTCAGCAAGTTCAGCAGCTCAGTGGTTTAACCTGCTGTGTCCTCGAGAGCTCATATAAAAGCTTTGGATAGCATAGGGAAAGGTTAACACCCCTGTGATGTTTTGATGTCTGTGCCCCTGCTCAGAAGATTTCACCTCACTTTCTGTCCTTGTGATCATTGGATTTTGTGCTTGTTGTGGAAAGAAGGATTGGCGCTAAAGCTTCAGTGGCAGCACCTTTTCTCCATGATAACCCTTTCAGGAGTGGATTTCCCTTTTGAAGGGGAGATTTCTCTCACTTCCTGTTGTCTCATCCCCATTCTTAAGTAGGAGTTGGATGTTTGCAACTTGAGGACTGCCCGTGATGTATAATATATATAAATTTCATATAATCTTTCCTGTATGAAGAATTTTTGCATTCATGGGGTGGATACTAGAACCAAACCCCAGCAGTATAGTGCCCCAGACTGAAGTGTTCAGAGGTGTGTTTGCAAGCACTGGAGTCATATTCATAACAGTTTATGCAATTAAAGTACTCTTGGGTAGAGAAATATAAAATACTGTGCTGTGAAGGGCACAATCCACATATTATTGGATTGCAGCTGCCATCAGCATACCTAGTGATGCAGCACAATGAGAGATGTAGTTCTACAAAATCTGAAAGACCACATGTCTCTCCTCACCCATAAGGATACATTATTTTAATGCTTTGTCTATAGGAAGAAGGAGGTGGTGGCAGAGGCAGCTGAACCATATGTTCCAGTTGAGAAGCAGCCAGTGATGGTTTGTCCACCACCACGAAGCAAAAAGTATATTCCTCCTGAGGATCTGCAAAATCGTCTGGAGTCTCTCATTAGAGGGATTTTTGGGTCCTCTGTCTCAGGGGATTGGAAAAAGGAATCTCTGGGAGACAGTGGTTTAAAGTATCGCCTGCTTGCACAGCTGGCAGCCGATTTGGGCCACACAGTCCCCAATTCCCAGCTCCATCAAATGAAGAGTGCCAGTGATGTCTTGGCTTTCTACAGCATACCTGTAAAAGACATGTCAAAGTTTGATGAACTCAGCACCCAGGATCTGCCCTCAAACCTGAAGATCAACTGGCAGTACTGAGCTAAATAAGGACAGAAGCATCTTTAGTTCTTTTGGCCTATCAACAGCGAACTTGTACTTTCTTGATCATTGTTTTGGTCTCTTTGCAATTTCTCACCAACAAGAGTAACACTGATTCACTGAGGGGGTAACAAATGTATTGTTTGTGTCTTCCCTGCTTATGTAATTTACATGAAGCTTCCCATTAAATATAATTTTTCTGTAGAGAAGTGTGAACAGCAGTATTTGCTTTAGTAAAAACCACATGCTGTGTATCAGCCCTTTTAATCATTGGACTAATTTCTCTATGAAGGGCAGCTGTGTTTTTTGGAAAAGCAGAAGAAACATATATAGAACAACTACAAAATGTTGTGCGCACAAACTCATTTTGTTAGAATACCTTTATTCTCTCATTGTGTAATTTGATGAACATTTGGGAAAGTTATGCAGTACATTCCCCTTTTATAAATATGATACATCAAGAAAATAATTATTATTTTGGAAGAAAATAAAATTTCAAATCTTGGTATTGCTATGTGTATAAAATTTCTGCAAAATTTAGAATAACTGCTTCTTGCTGGTGACATTTACATAAATTTTATACAGTTTCATTTTTGAAATGTGGGTAGTGTTCAAAATGGTGTAAAACAAAATTTCTCAGCTCATCTTCGTTACCATTTTGTAGAGGTTTGATGCACTTGGAATAGAACTCAGTCCCGAGTATATTGGAGAGGGCAAAATGTGGCCTTTAGCCCAGGATCCTCTTTTTGTGC